TTTTCTAATATGTTCCTTTTCTCTCCCAGAAATTTCCTGTTTTTACCTTTGACCCCTATTCATTCCTCCTATCTTTTTCAGTCTAGGATACATCCTACCTTTATTATGCAACCTTTCCCAGGAAGTTCAGCGTCATTAAGCTCTTAGCTTTCCTGTAGTACTTAATCTGTTTCACTTCATTTAGATTGTCTATGTTAACTTGTGTTATTTTAAAAAATGGATTTAGTGTGGCATAATGGAGCCTTCCAGGGAACATGGGTGGTAAATGGAGCCAGATAGATTCCAATTTGAGTACTAGCACTGTCATTTTCTAACTTTTTGGGGATTAGGCAAATTATCTAAGCTTTGTGGGTTTCACTCTTCTTAAGTGTAGAATGGGACAATTGTCCACCTTTTAGAGTTACTAAAGAGTATAGTTAACAGGCTGCATAAATGTTTAGCCCAAAGGCAAGACTATAACAGGTGCTCAGTAAATGGCAGTCGTCGTCACTATTGCTGTGGTTCTGTATTTCTCCTAATATCATCCTGGGCTGAGCCTGTGGGAAGGTATCGTTGAGTGTGGTTCACGGCGAGGTCATGTAAATAGCTCCTGAAATCCCATCACTGTTGTGGAGGCTTCCTGTTGGCTCTGTTCTATCAGAACGACGAACCTCTCAGGGCTTCTCTGGCCCACTCTTTCTGATCCCATTATCTGTAAGGGGAGCCTCTGGTATGTATCCTGAAGCAGCTTCCAGCACAGCGAGTTGAAGGATTTATTTTTGAGTAATGTTTTGGATTAATCCCTACATTTTTCTAAACGTCAGCAGCCAGGATTGTAATAAATAAAGCATTTTTCACTTACTTCAAATGCAATCTGTGAAACTCACAGAATAAAATCTCAGCCAATCAAGCAGATGAGTACATTATTTTGTCTAGCTCACTTCAGCTCAGCAGACATCTATTATCATATCTCCTATCTCCAGGCATTTCATCGTTGTTGGATTTACAAAGGTGAACAAGATTTGGCTCCTGCCTGTGAGTGAGAGACATAAAAACCGATCATTTCAATCGATAATTAGTAGTTAGGAGGAGGTAAGGATGGGATCACAGATAGAGGGTGTCTGAGTGGGAAAGAGAAGGCTGCTAGGAAAACATGACCCTTAGCCTGTGATGTCTATCAGAGGAAAAATGGGATGATCCACCTGATTCAGGGACAGACCCAACTTGAAGAGATTCAATATTTATGGAAATTTATTGCCTGCAAAGTTCACAGATAGGATTGACTCCACGCAGCTCAACCTGTGTCCTCATGGCCCTGTCTTAACTGTGCCCATGTAAAAGTCAAATGGCCTCCATGACTCCAGACCTGGTCCCCTCACACATTGCTTCCCAAGGAGGAATAGTAAGTTTCTCTCCAGTTCCAGCTCAATCTAAGGATTTAGTTTTTCTCATTGCCCCTGAACCAATCACTGTGACTAATGGGTTACTAATTGGTTTTCATAAGTCAGGGTCTACCCTCAAGCTGAGAATAAAGTCAGTATCATTCAAACCTCATGGCTAAAGATGCGTGGAAAGGGGAATGCATGACCAAGAGGCAGCCAGCAAATGTTTTCTAGACCAGGGTAAGCAAATGGAAAGAGTCTTTTGGGGAAGGTAATAATACAAGCAAAATCAAGGAAGTGTGCTCTATCATAGTGCATGTGGGAAACAGCAAGCAGTTGAACATGCATTATGAGACTTTGAAAATAATTATAAAATAATAATGCAATGGTATATTTGGATCTAGTTGCCGTACATTATTTAATTCTCACAACAACTAAGGAAGAAATGCCATCTTGTAGGTAAAGAAATTTGAGCCCGCCCTGACCGGTTTGGCTCAGTGGATAGAGCGTCAGCCTGTGGAGTGAAGGGTCCCAGGTTCTATTCCAGTCAAGGGCATGTAACTTGGCTTCGGGCACATCCCCAGTGGGGGCTGTGCAGGAGACAGCTGATCCATGTTTCTCTCTCATCGATGTTTCTAACTCTCTATCCCTCTCCCTTCCTCTCTGTAAAAAATAAAAATATATTAAAAAAAAAACAACCAGTCCCTCCAAAAAAAGAAATTCAGAGGAATTAAAAAAAAAGAAAAAAAGAAATTTGAGCCCAAGTTCACAGCTAATAATTGGTGGAGCTGGACTCAAACCCAGGTTATCTGACTCTAGAGGCAGCCCACATGGATATTATAGTATATTAAGTACTCTCTTCTTTATTGCTAGAGTTTCAGAAATAAGACCTCTATATACCACGCTAAGAAGGCCTGTTTTCTCTGAGACTCAAGTTTTCTTTAAGCTCTAACTCTGTCATCCCATGGTAAGGCATTGGTTCTCAAATTTTGGCATTCATCACATAGTCTTGAGGCTATGATTGCTGAAATATGATTGCTGGGTCCTAACACCAGGTTTAGTAGATCTGATTTAGTAGATCTAGGGTGGGACCCTAGAATTTGCATTCCTAAGAAGTTTCTAAAGGAAGCCGGTTGCTGGTGTCTGGGAGCCAACTCTGAGGACCACTTGTTTGAGGTCTTTGGGGGCCTGAAGGTTTGTGGTTCAGTGATATTCAACATATTGAAATGATGCTTGGAAATACACATGCTTTCCCCTCACCTTCTTTAATACTACCCATCTGAAGAGTATATTTGGTTTCAGCAATATCCTCTCCCAAAGGTCAAGGTCATTGCATGTGTTTCATTGATTGGATTTCTCCTCTCTCTCTGATTCTTGACTTATTAAAATGAGATTTATTGCTCTTCTAGGTCTCACTCAGTTCCTAATGCTCAGTTCCCCCTTGAGTGTTAAAAAGTACACTTGTGTACAAAAGACATATATTTAAATGCTTTATTTTATGGGTAACATTTTTAGTATAAATAATTTAAGTATCAGAAAAGTAACATGAACATTCATATTTCCACCATCTAGTGTCAACAGTTGTAGATGTATATACATGTGTATACACACATTTTTTTTGATGAACCATTTTAAAGTAAGTTACAGATCTTGTGCCACTTTGCCCATAAATACTACAGTACACATTGCTCAGGAAGAGCATTCTCTTACGTAGTCACAATTCCAGGATCATGCTTAAGAAAATTAACAGCAATCCCTAATGTTATCTAACCTGTAGTCATATAACAATTTCTGCTTGTCCCAGTGTCTTCTCTGTCAGGATCCAATCACGGGAAACTAAATCCTAAGACTCAGCAATGCTGCATGGACCTTTAGGCTCAGATGCATTCTGTGTTATTTAATGACAGGTTTGATTGCTTTAACCAAGACCCAGTTTAATGATGGCTTAAATAAGGAAGATGTTTATTTCTGTCATATTTAACCACCTGGAGATCAAGTGGTCCAGGGCTGATAGGGGAGCTTCCATTTTGGAGGCCAAGATAGCTGTTCCAGCCCTACCACCATGCTGGGAAGAGGGGAGGGAGTGCATACTCCGTCCTTTTAAGGTCATGTTTGGATGTTGTATATTTTACCTCAGTTCCCACCTCATTGGCAGGAACATAATCATATGATGCATCTGTGTTAGAGGCCTGGAAATGAAGGCTTTATTCTGGATGGCCACGTGTCTAGTGATAATTCAGGTATCAAAAGAAAGGATGACTACTAGGGCAGCAGTTAGCATCTCTGCCACAAGTTCTTTTTTCAAATGACTGAGCTATTCCAAATGATATTAAAATCCATTTAATTACTCCAAGTACATTACAATATGACATTTGTCTTTTTGAACTATATAGGTTCAGCTTAATTGCTCCTACGCTGAGTTCAGAATGTTATTTATTAAAAACTATTTTATAGATGTTCTGTCTTTTTTTCTTTTCTTTTTTTTGTTAGGGCATAGCTTCCACTGCTGATAGCTGTCACTGTCTTCACAATTTTCTCATGTGCTTTTTCTTTGCTCTGGGCTGGGAAATCAGGTAACAGTAACTATCATAATAAAGCTATGATTTAGTGTGTGTTCCACATGTGCTGTCCGGTACATCTTACCTCTGACTTTGGAGCTCTTATACAAATATAAGAGCTGAAGCTCCCGGGTGTCAGGAGCCCCTTCATGAGAACTGCCTTGTTAGAACCACACTTAAAATAAGAATCGGTGCCCTGAGTGAGATCTGGGGATCTACCTGGGGAAGGTTTGCATGATTTTCATTACAAAGACTTTGCAGTATCTTTTTTGAGGCTTTTGAAGCATTTTATCCTTTTTTTGTGGGGTGCAGATGGTGGGCTTGCTAAATAGTTAAGTTCTCCATGGATGAAGGACTCATTGCCTAATAGATCTCTGTGAATACATTTGTATAGCATGCATGCAAACCCATAGCTCTTTGGAAACCTTTAACAAGCATAGCAAATACTAGATTTTAAAAACTTGGACTCCAAAGCCTACCATACATCATAAACAAATCTGAACCTGGCTGGTGTTGCTCAGTGGTTGAGCATCGACCCATGCACCAGGAGGTCATGGTTCAATTCCTGGTCAGGGCACATGCCTGGGTTGCGGGCTTGATCCCTACTAGGGGGTGTGTAGAAGGCAGCTGATCAATGATTCTCTCTCATCCTTGATGTTTCTATCTCTCTCTTCCTTTCCTTTCCTCTCTGAAATCAATGAAAGTGTGAGGCTGATCTATTATACAGACAAATAGCCTTGTGCAGAACAGCTGTTGTATTTCTGATTTTGGGAAAACTGGTATCTTGCAGAGTCATGCTTGCTCTTAGGGGTTATCTTGAGCTAGAGATTTTAGCACACAGTAAATGAAAATAAATGTATGTAAAATTATAGACATCTGAATCCTTTAAAAATTGGGAACTGTATATATACTGATATATAATAATCGGATAGCTTCAACAGTTTGTAATTTAAAGTTTGAACTGCTCATTTTACCGCTTGGGAGAAAAAAATGAGCTATGACGTATTTGTGGCAGATAGGGATAAATTATAACCAGTATATTTAAGAACAGGTCACCTACTTCCCTCTAATTCTTCTTTAGGTCGAGATTTAATTTGTATCCAGTCAATGGATGGGATGCTGATGGTGTTTGAGCAGGAAAGCTATGCCTTCGGGAGGTTTCTCCCTGGTTCTCTCTTGCCTGGCCCCCTTGCCTACAGTTCCCGGACAGACTCCTTCATCACTGTCTCTTCCTGCCGACAAGTGGAAAGTTACAAGTAAGTTTGGATGTCCCACCTTTGAAATCAGCGTTTTTGGTGTGTATGTTGCTGATTCATTTTTTCCCACAAAGAGCTAATATCACAAATTAAGAAGAGCCTGGTTGTTTTTTTTTATAAGATGAAATTGTGGTGACTTAGATTTTGCTACTTCCAGCTGTTTGATGGCCAGTGTCCTTGTCTGGCTGAAAAGGGATAAGAATGGCTATTTCAGAGAGAAAGAACTCAGGGACATGGACAATAGTGTGGTAACTGCAGGAGGAGGAGAGTGGGGGGGAGGTGAAAGAGAGGGTATATGGGGGATAAATGGTGATGGAAAAAGGTAATAAAATAAAGGGGGGAAACCATAGAATTAAAAAAAATGACTATTTGACAAGTTGTTTTCTTTTTTTTATAGGATTAAATGTGTGTCATGTTGCCACCCTATAGAAAATGCTCAATAATTCTTGGGACTGTTCCCTGAATTATAAATAATAAAACACAGGGTCAGTGGAAAAAGCCTCATGCAAAGATGCATATATGGAATTATTTTATAACAACAACAAAAAAAAGAATGTATGTGTACATAGGGAGAATACTGGCAAGAAATACAAGTGTTTTTATGAATGTTTTTAAGAGAAAGATTAATAATAGAAGTGAATGACCCTATGAAAACAGTTTAGACTGTTAGAAATTTTTATTGGTGTTGTTGACTTGTGTTCAGAGAGACACCTTTTCTCCTCCATCAGCTACATTTCAATAAAAATGAAGGTTTTGAGTTTTTGGATGTTGTTTTTTTTCTGTTTAATCCTCACCACCTGAGGATATTTTTTCCATTGAATTTTTAGAGAGAGAGGAAAGTAGGTAGTGAGGAGAGAGAGAGAGAGAGAGAGAGAGAGAGAGAGAGAGAGAGAGAGAGAGAGAGAGAGAGAGAGAGAGAGAGAGAGAGAGAGAGAAAGAGAGAGAGAAAGAAAACAAAAGAAAAAAAGAGAGAGAGAGAGAGAGAGAGAAAGAGAAAGAGAAAGAGAAAGAGAAAGAAAGAAAGAAAGAAAAAGAGAGAAACAGAAACATGGATGTGAGAGAGACACATCAATTGGTTGCCTCCCGCACACGCCCTGACGGGTCAGGGGATGGAAGCTGCAACCCAGGTACATGGCCTTGACGGGGAATTGAACCCATGATCCTTGGTTTGTGGGCTGGTGCTCTACCACTGAGCCTCACCGGCCAGGGCTGGAGACTGTGTATTTTTGTTGTTGTTGGAAAGGGGAATGGGGAAAAGAAAGAAATCCATGCTGGGAAAAGAAATAGATTTGGAGACTTACAGTATCTTCAATCACTTTTTTTATCTTACTGACGGCAACAGTTAGAACTTCAAATGTCCAAGCAACACTTCATTATAGCTTTTCGGTATTATTTTTGGCCGCCCATTTCCCCAAGGCAGGAAGAAAATATAAGTTAATCAGACAACACCTGTACATTTTGTCTTCAAGTTTCAATATTATGTACATAGCAAAGCAATGCAGTTTTCCCTTCCTAAGTGGCTTTTGTGAATTATTGTCAAGACATCTAGGATTCAAAACTCTGAAAAAAGGCAACTGCTTGTGACTGAACAGAAGTTAACTGACGCAGGCAGTGCATTATTGTGTCACATTCCTTCTGTAACTCCTGTGGCTCTTGTCCAAAGGAGATGAATGAGTTGTGGCATTGCTACTGTTAATAAATAAAATATTAGAGTTATCTTGAAAGGCTGAGAAAAATATCTGTATAATACATTCAAGCCTGTCACAATGTAAGCAGTATTGAGGAGATCTGCTTTTCAGCTTTCCACCCAGTTGTGTGTCTCAACTCTTGCCAAGGAGCGATACTGGCAGTGCCTCACAGGGGTCACCACACGGAGACTCGAAGGCTCCCTCACTTACTCTTTGAAACATGTGCATAGGGATTAATTTGGTAATAACTCCAGGAGTCACTGGATGAGGGAGCAAGGCGTAGGTTTCCTTAATGTGTAACTGTAATCCCACAGGAGCTCACACTGTTTTAAGTGTGGTGATTCAGTCTATTAAATTCATCTGCATCTAGGGCTAAAAAATGCACATGTTTTATGTGGGTCTTTTATAATGATACAAATGCATGGGATATGGGATTATTGTGAAATGATGACAATCAAGAGGGTTTATGCCATTAAGTAGTATGTTGTATTTCTATATGCTTTCAAGTTTAATAGATAAAATTAAATGATAATCATGGGTACAGTTTAGGATGGGAGAAAGCATGAAAACGGCAGGTTCTTTTGAGATTGCACCAAATATCTTTGTAATCAGTTAACAGAGTGCCATCAGTTAGTATAAAAAGCGTCATTTTCATTTTCTCCTCCCGAGTTTAATTTCAAACTTTAACTAGAATGAAAAAAATAAATCACCAAGGTTGAGAAAATAAGAGTGATGAGAAAACACGGTAGACGTTTAAGAAACAATTTCACTTATAAGAATTTTGATAAAATGTTTCCTACAAGAAAGTGTGTAGGACAATTGTTTTAAATTGTAGGGGGGAAATGGAAAACAACCTAAGTGATCAGAGTAGAAGATCAGATAATTAAATGTCCATATATCATTTTCATTTTTGCTCCTGATGTTTGATTGTTTTAAAACAAGCTCAGTTATGTTCTATGAGGAAGTAGGGAAGGCCATGGGTCTCCGACTTCAGTGTGCATAGAATCACCTGGGAACCCTGTCATAAAATGCACGTTTGCAGATTCCCAGTCCCCAACACTCTAGATTTTGATTTAGTAGTTTTGGGAAAAGTCTCAGAAATTGTCATTGCAGACACACACTCCAGGTTGGATTCTAATTCAGGGACACACACTGAGCATTGTTTTTCCTTTTTTGAAGTGAGAGAATTATTTGCCTTTTTTGGAGAGGGTAACTTAGGTACCACTATTCTTTTGGCCATATTTATCAAAACTTTGAATCATTTTTATTTTTAAAAATATTTTCATTGATTTTAGAGAGGAAGAGAAAATGAGAGATAGAAACATCAATGATGACAGAGAATCACTGATCGGCTGCATGCCCGCTCCTGCATGCCCCACACTGGGGATCGAGCCCGCAACCCAGGCATGTGCCCTGACCAGGGATTGAATCATGACCCCCTGGTTCGTGGGTCGACACTCAACTGCTGAGCCACGCTGACCGGCTGAATCATTTTTAATTCTCTTTTTCTTTCCTTTCTTATCAGAGTCATTCAGTCAGTAAATCCTGACCTTTCTATCTTTTTTTCCCTTTCTTCAGCTACTGTGGTCCCATTGGCATTGAGGCTTTTATCTTTTCCCTTGGATTTATGATTTTCTTACCTCTAGATTTTAGAGTCCTTCTTATAGCTATCTTTTAAAACCACCTCTTTAAGCCAGAATTTTTGTTTCTTATTAAAAGAATCCAAATTTTCTTATGTTGAAATTTAGTGCTCTTTATAATCCAGTACCATTTTACCTCTATTATGTTGACTTTCAGATTTGGAAGAGACTTTTAAAGGTAACTCGTCCAACTATCCTCTTTTTTTTTACCTCCTAGATATATTTTTGCCTAAAACACTGATTTTTGCACAGTATCATATATTGTCTTCCTGTACTGTGCTGAGATGTTCCAGAGAATGTCTTGAATTATCAGGTTCCTGAGAGCCGACTGTGCCTTAAATATCTGCTCACTGATGGAATAATTCGGTTTATTGGTTCATTCATTCATTCAGAAAACATTTTTCAAGAGGCTTCTATGTGCCACACACTGTGCAAAGTACAGGAAATGCAAAGTCAAATAAGACCTGTCTCCTGTCCTCAAGCTGTAAGCACGTGGGGGAGGTAGCAAATCAATGGGCTGTTTCAGTTCGCAGTGATACAGGATGCGGAGGAGGCCTGCAAGTGGGACCTCAGCGGAGACTTGGATGTAGGGAGGCTCCCTGAAGAATGTCTTTGCCACACGTTACATCTTTCTCTCCTCTGTGCTCCACGCTTCCCCTGCACCCTAAGAGTGGCTTGTGGTCCATTGTAAGAAGATAATAGGCTTTAAAATATTTTAAAATATCTTTTTTGAATTTAATTGATAACATTGTGAAAAGAAGATTGTGTTCTTCACCAGTCTTAGGCTCTTGACAAATGAAAATATTTGGGGTTCTCCATATATGTCCAGGGCTTTTCTCTCTTGCTCGTGCTGTACTCTGCCTGGAATGCTTTCCCTTCCTTCTTTGCATATGGAAATAATTTCTGGAAGCCTCCCTGCTCCCCTTCAGTTCTTCTGTGACCTGGCTCTCCAAGTCACATCTCCTCCTTCTCAATTTAGAATAGTTTTCCACTGCTTTCGCAAGTACTGTTTATGCTTTCACTGATATTACATATTTGCTTGTTTTTCTTCTTGACTGAGCCAAGTGATCTTTGATGGCAGGGATTTCTATCCTCTGAAGTGCCCAGCATTGTACCCTGTTGAAAGTAGGTGTTTAAGAAGAACCTGATGAAGGAGTGAAAAGTTTGTAAGGAATGTTTCTATTTTGTTACTGGCTTCTTTTAATGAAAATGATTCCCTCTGGCACAATCAAGAATGTTTTAGCTATAGTTGAAAAGGAACAGTGTAAGGCTCTGTACCCAGAGCTTTCCATTCCTACTGGAGTTCCCTGAATTAGATATAAAGGTTTCAAAATCTCCTGTTATCCTTTGAGGTGCCAACTATGTTTCATTTGAAAATAAATGATTGTGGAGGGTTTACTTTTGTACTCTGTGACACCTCAATCCATATTTTAGCTCCTTGCCGCTGTTTTTACGATGTGTTACAGAAGAGCACTAAATTATGTGTTTGAGTTTGTCATTGGTGCTCCACAGGACCCATTACGCACTTGTGGTTATTGGGCCAAAAAGCACCACCGTTCATCTGGACCTGCTGCATTTGTGATTACTGCCTCTCTGTTCTGAGAAACATGTATGATGCTCTTTCATGGAATCTTATTACATTGGGCCAAGTTATTCTTCAGCAGTCTCAACAAGGGAATCTTAAAAAAAATATTTTATTGATTGATTGATTCAGAGAGGAAGGGAGAGGGAGAAAGAGATAGGAACATCAATGGTGAGAGAGAATCATTGATCGGCTGCCTCCTGCATGCCCCCCACTGGGGATCAAGCCAGCAACCTGGGCATGTGCCCTGACTGGGAATTGAACGGTGACCTCCTGGTTCATAGGTCAACACTCAACCATTGAGCCACACTAGCCAGACTAGGACTCTTATTCTTTAGCTTATCTCACTGGACACTTGAATGGTAAGGAAAAAAAATGCAAGTGTTTTCTTTATTTCAGAATTTCCAAGTCTGTTTAGAATTCTTTGGTTTTGGTTTACATTTCCATGTACATTATTGGTCACAGTTAAGAGGATAAGGAAGAACCATAAATAGATGCTATTATAAGTTTGTCATCATCTAAATTTACTGTCAGCTACGTTTAGTAATAAAATTCTCTTCTGAGTCGTCTTCCAGGAAGAGAAATGACCTGGATTTGGAAATCAGGAGTTAATTTTGGCTGGGTCTCTGCCTGCTGTTTTGATGTTAATGAGGCCACTTTAGGGGCTCACTTATTCCTCAGATGAAATAATAAGCCTTTGTAGTTATATAAGAAGCTTCAAACAGCTCCAAAGCTTTGGATTTTTGCAACCATCTCATTAATATCCATACCATCCTCTGGAAGGTTGGTGTCTGCAGGAAATTATCCACCTCTGTAATTAGCCGCCTAAGGTTAGAGCCCTAGCAGGACCAGCTCTGGGCTCACGGCTATCACCAGTGCATACAGGTTCTGTTACCCTGAACTGGGAAGAGTAAAGCAATGCGATTTAGAGGGTGGGATGTGAGGTCTGGTTATTTGCACTTTGGAAGACACACAGACATTTTGAAAGGCAGCCTCAGTTGGTACGGAGACATTTGCTGCAGTTGCCTATGAGATGTTTTAGTCCAGTTTTACAAGCCTGAGGTCATTACCCTCCTACCTATTCTGTCTCCTTTCCCATGACTCAGTCCTCCCTGCCATGCATCTCTCCTACACTGTGGTAGCCTTTCATGTCTCCTTTACTGGTGTGTGCCTTTGCTTGTGCTGTTCATTTTGCCATAACACCTTCACCTTTTTAAAAACACACACACATTTTTATTGATTTCAGAGAGGAAGGGAGAGGGAGAGAGAGAGAAACATCAATGATGAGAGAGAATCATTGATTGGCTGTCCCCTGCACGCCCCACACTGGGGATCGAGCCTGCAATCTGGGCATGTGACCTGACAGGGAAGGTGCCGTGACCTCCTGGATCATAGGTCAATGTTCAACCATTGAGCCACACAAGCCGGGAACACCTTTGCCTCTTTACCAGCACAATGAGTTTTCACTTATTCTTTAAAATGTAGCTTTCTCCTCCTAAACCAGTACCAAGAACATATATGTTCTTCCACTTTGATTTATGCTTCTGCTACCATGTTCCCTTGGTACTGCATGCATACCTTCCATTAGCACAGGTGTTCTAAGCTACATTTGTTTGTATATGAATCTCTACTACTTTGGGAGATCCTAATGAATATAGACCATGAGTATTTTTTCCATTGTCAATGCTTGTATCAGACCCCAGCTATGTTTATTGAATGAATGAAATTCATACACATTAAGCTTCCGTATTATCTACAAGACTGTCTTTATGAATGTTTTGCAAAATCTCACTTAATTCATAGTCATTCTGCCTCCAACTGAAATTGGAGGCTTTTTACAAATGAAATATTCTTGATTGAGTAGGATGGTTTTAAAGCTGGTATATGATATATGGACACCACTGTACATTTTAGTGCTTATGTAGATCTCTCACATTGCCTTCATTCAGGTCCTGGATGTTCACACGATCAGACATCTTTCTCTTAGACAATATGAGGTGTCTGAATATATCTTTTACTGATTTTCCTCTTAGCTATGGAAGAACAATGCAAGGAGTTCTGATTTGATAGGAGGGAAAAGAACCTATGAGCCTGAAGTTTCTTCATTTAGAGTGGGATTATTACTCTCATATACCAGTAATTGATGGGAAACAAGCAAAATAAACTCTCTTGGCTAAATTAATCATTTCTAAAGTGAATATTTATAAATTATTATTATGATTTTAAATATATTTTTATTGAATTCAGAGAAGAAAGGAGAAGGAGATAGAAACATCAGTGATGAGAGAGAATCATTGATTGATTGGCTGCCTCCTGCATGCCCCCTACTGGGGATCAAGCCCGCAACCCAGGCATGTGCCCTTGACTGGAATTGAACCCAGGATTCTTCAGTCCACAGGCCAGCGCTCTAGCCACTGAACCAAACCAGCTTGGGCCACAAATTATTTTAAAGAATGATTTGACTTAAATGTTACTATTGAAATAAAAGCTATGAAATGCTTATAGAAAGTAATAATGCCCATTATTGAGAACTTATTACATATCAAATAAACTACTAGGTTAATGCCCATTATTGAGAACTTATTACATATCAAATAAACTACTAGGTTATTGATCTATCTCCTTATATAAACCATTATCTGTATGCTAATAAATGAGCACCTAATATATACCAGATACTATACTAGACACTATATTACTTTTCTTTTTAATCCTCTACCTCGGGATATTTTTTCCATTGATTTTATTTTTTTAAGAGAGAGTGAAGAGGAAGGGGGCAAAGAGAAACATCGATGTGAGAGAGACACATCAATTGGTTGCCTCTTGCACATGCCCTTACTTGGGCTGGGGATCTAGCTTTCAATTGAAGTACATGCCCTTGACTGGGAATCAAACCTGTGACCCTTTGGTCCATGGGCCACTGCTCTAACCACTGAGCAACTGACTAGGCTATATTACTTTTTAATTCTCTTAACAATGCCTGTGTCAGAGATTATCATTCCCGTTTTATACATGGGGAAGATAAGACACAGAGTGTTTAACTTGCCAAAATTCACTCAACTACTAAGTGATTTAGCTGGGGCTTAGACTCAGTTCTTCTTGGTTCCATTGATTACATATTAATAATTTCTGCTGCATCTGGCTGCTTTCCATTATTTACATTTTTCTTCTATTTGGTGTTTTGGTGCTAGATCTTTCTTGAATATTGTTATTTGTCACATAAAATTTTAATGGAAATGCTTTGATAGTTGGCAGAGCTATATTCCCCATATTGAATTTTGGGACATATGGTTATAATTTCTTGACCATGACAGTTTTACATAGTCTTATGTCACAGTATAATTCAGTAAGAATTCAATTCTAAATTTTACAGTTTTTAAAACCAAGGTAAAAGTGGTTCATTAGGTTTATAGATTATGTGCTTTATTTACTTCTTTTTCTTGATCAGCTTTATTGAGGTTATGTGCTTTTAAAGTTTAAAATAATTTCTGCTTTTAAACTCTAAAGTCATTTTCAATTATTTCATATCTTTCAAACAGGTACCAAGTACTCGCTTTTGCAACAGATGCAGATAAAAGACAGGAGACTGAACAGCAAAAACTTGGTTCTGGAAAAAGACTTGTTGTAAGGCCATTTTTTAAAATATAAAAATTTTAGCAATGTTACATTTATTTTGTTATTGATTTATTTTTTATTTTTTTAAATTAAATTTTTTTCTATTTTTCAATTACAGTTGACATTCAGTATTATTTTATATTAGTTCCAGGTATACAGTGTAGTGATTGGACATTTATATAATTTACAAAGTGATCCCCCGATACGTCTAGTAGTACCCTACATGGCTGGCACCATGCATGGTTACAATATTATTGACTATATTCCCTATGCTGAATTTTACATTCCTGTGACTGTTTTGTAACTACCAACTTGTAGTTTTAAGCCTTTCATCATTTCCATCCAGGCCCTCACCCCCATCTGGCAATCATCAGTGTCTATGAGTCTGTTTTGTTTGTTTCTTTATTGAATTCTTTAGATACCACATGTAAGTGAAATCATACAATATTTGTCTTTCTCTGTCTGACTTATTTCACTTAGCATACTATCCTCTAGGTCCATCCATGTGGTCGCAAATGGTAAGATTTCATTCTTTTTATGGCTGGGTAATATTCTATTGTATGTATCTACCACATCTTCTTTATCCAGTAGTCTATGGATGGGTACTTAGGTTTTTTTTTTTGTTTTTTTTTGCAACTAAATTGATCTTAGGTTTTCCTTTGCAGGTAGATTGGACTCTAAATATTGGAGAGCAAGCCCTTGATATATGTGTTATGTCTTTCAATCAGTCAGCATCTTCTGTTTTTGTTCTTGGTGAAAGAAACTTTTTTTGCCTTAAGGACAATGGTCAGATTCAATTCATGAAGAAACTTGACTGTAGCCCAAGTTGTTTTCTCCCGTACTGCTCAGGTGTGTAGAGGGATTTTCTTTTATCTCTTCCATATGTCAGGGCTGTGCTGTTTACACCAGAAAAAGGCAAACTCACATGCATGTGAACATCTAGGAAAATACTTTTAAACTGAACATGTAATGGAAATTTTAACTTTGAAAGTTTGAATAGAAGTTTGATATGAAGCACACACTTGGGCTTGTCAGTCGTTTTACTTTGTACAAAAGGACTGTAGAATTGGCCCCGGGCGCACATTACTGCTTTCCAAAAGGAGGCCGTTTACGATGATTCCAAGAGAACATCAGACTCCGCTATAAGCAGAACGGAGCAGAGTGATGCCTAATAGAATGACTTTTCTGTAGTGAATGCCCAGAAAATCATTAGCTTCAATGTGTTAAATATTAATGAAGCTCATGCTTTCTAGATGAAATGCAAAAATATTGGCTAGTATCTGGTTATAGTTTCCAAGTCTTTAATTTTTTTCCTTTTAGATATTGGCAGCTTGAAGTTGAAAAATCATTTTTTATTACTTAAAAATCTTTACGCATTAACATCAAGATTTTATAATTAGTTTGTAACATAAATCCCCTGAAAGGGATATAATATACTGTTGATAATGACTGTCTCCTTTTTAATCCTTAAAAAAAAATGTCACCCTACAGTTTCTGAAGGAACAATAAATACTTTGATTGGAAACCACAGTAGCCTGTTGCATGTTTATCAGGACGTGACACTGAAGTGGGCCTCTCAGCTTCCCCACGTGCCTGTCGCAGTGAGAGTGGGCTCTTTACGGTAAGTGGTTTAATTTGACTTTTTTTAAAAAGAGAATCTTAGTCAAGGAATTATTCCAAAGTTTTATAAAACAATGGCAAGTGATTTTACTAAAAAATGAATTTTACTAAAAAATGAATTTTACTAAAAAAGTGACATTGTAGTGTGTGTCAACAATGGAAATATTTTAAAATATAAGTTTTATTGGAGAAGAAGGATATAAAAATTCTTAATTAGAACAATTAATCATTTTTATTTGGTATTTTAGTGACATGTCCTTTGTAAATTAAAGAACTCAAGAAAATAGTTTGCCTGAGAGATTATTATTATTATTTTTAATAATAATAATAATCACCAGAAGATATGTTTTTTTATTCATTTTAGAGAGAGAGGGGGAAGAGAAAGATAAATAGATATATATATAGAGAGAGAGAGAAAGAGAGAGATGTGAGAGAGAAACATCCATTGGTTGCCTCCCGTACTTGCCCCTACTGGGGATTGAACTCGCAACCTTTTGGTGTATGGGACAACCTTTCAATCAACTGAGCCACCTAGCCAGGGCTAGGCTAGATTATTATTAATAATTTCTTCATGCATTTGATGGGTTTCATTTGGAGATTCCTTATTGTTAGACTGTGAGAATGTTATACTTCAAAACTTGTTTCAGACTATGTCCAAAGGTGCAGAATCACTAATGATTGTGTTTAAGACAGTTTAGATTTTAAATAAGGCCACTTTGCATTTACAGTGAAAGACAAAAATTTGTATTTGAATATTAAATTCACAAAATTTATGAAAAGTGAGAGAAAGGAGATACCTAAGTGTGTAATTTAAAAAAATTTTCAGTATAAAATCCAAGATCTCAGATTATGTTTGGGAATTGAAAATCTTGATATATGTAGAGAAACACACTTTTTGTAAACTGTCTTAGGTTCGCAAATCTACTCAGTTCTGCTTATTATATCATTTTATTGAACATTTAAAAACCATATGTAGAATTCATCAGTGATATCTACAGTATCTGATCAGTGTGACTAATCCCCCCAAATTAAGAGGTTGAATGTTATGCATCACACACATCATGACACTTTGGCCAACAATAATAGTCCCATAAGACTATAATGGACTTGAAAAATTTGTGTAGTTTAGTGACATTGTAGCTGTCATAACATTTAATGCAACATAGGCCACGTTGAGTGACTGACCTGGAAGGAAAATATGAAGGTGGAAAATCAGTGATGGTTATTGCTTGCCAGTCAGGCATGTCCATTCCGCCATAGTAACGATCTTGAAGAATAAGAACAACATGACAAAAACTGTTAAAGGATCTGCTTCATTGAAGACAAGAAGGCTAACAAAAATTCAAGGAGACTCTGTATTAGACAGAGAACCTTCTGATGACCAGACACAGATGTATAGCCCTTTCAGCACCATGGTGATCATGGCCAAAGCAAAAAGATTGTTTGCGATGTTGAAAGAAAAGGCTGGACCTGATCACAGTGTCAAATTTAATGCTAGCTCTGGGTGGTTTAAATGATTCAAAAATCTTCATTCAAACTATGTATGGTATCAGATGGGTATTAGATTTATCAGGGGGATCACTTAGTAAGTTATATAATGTCTAATCACTGGATTGTGTACCTGAAGCTAATATATGTCAACTGGAATTGGAAAATAAAATATTGTTTTAAGTGAAAAATAAAAGTAAAAAAGGTTTGATAATTTAAAAAAAATCATTATCTATATATATAAAAAGCCAGTGACTAGGACACTGTAATGACTGGAGTGACTGGTCGCTATGACGCCCACTGCAGCCAGCAAACCGCCCGATGGGGTAGGGGGGCGGACCATCCCCCTGGCCGGCCTGGCCTCCGATCACCCCCCAACCCCTATCAGGGACAGGGCTTGTCGGCCAACTGTCCATGGCCTCTCCCTGCCCACAGCCCTGCCTGATCGGCCACCATGGGTGGGGGCAGCCAGACCCCACCCTTGCACGAATTTGTGCACTGGGCCTCTAGTATACTCTATATCTAGGTTCTAGTCAGGAAACTAGAAGCAAGAGTAGGTATCAAGCTGAGACAGAATATTATTTCCACAGATGTTTGAAGTCTGAAAGAGTAGAGATGAATTGATAAATCAGGCTGGCTGGCCAACCTCCCGCTGTCTCCTTCTCCTGACAGGCCCAGCACTGATCCTCCCTGATTGGGTCTGGGCTGGCTGGACTCCATCCATGCACAAATTCATGCACTGGGCCTCTAGGTCATTGCATAATGTGACAGTGAGTGGGAGTCTGCGAGTGCTGGGGTGAAAGCAACTGGAGAATTTTTGGAAACTCTCGATATGCTGATTGTGGAGGAAAATTACTTGCCAGAGCAAATATTTGATGTGGAGGAAACCTCCCTGTTCTGGAAAGGGATGCCCGAAAGGACTTTCATCTGCAAGGAGGCCAAGTCATGCCAGGCTTTAAGGCTTTTAAGGACAGTGGAACAGTCTTGCTTGGGGGCAGTGTTGCAGGCTACAAATTGAAACCCTTTGCCATTTGGCACAGTGAGATTCTCAGGGCCTTCAAACATATGAATAAGCACCCCCTCCTTCCAGATACTGCAGGTGCCATAAGAAGTCATGGATGACGTAGCTCTTCTTCCAAGATGCCTTCTTGAGTTGCTTTGCCAGTGAAATTGAGAAGTGATGTTTGATAATGCTCCTGGATATCCTCTCTTTTTTGGTGATTTTCATCCCAGTATCAAAATAATGTTTCTCTCTCCAAACATCACCTCTTTGATCCAACCAATAAATCAAAGAGTTATATCAGCTTTTAAGGCCTACTACCTGGGGACTACCTTTGCCCAGGCTATTGCTACAACTGAGGAAGATGCTGAGAACACACTGATGCAATTCCAGATGGATTACATCATCCATGCCTGCATCAAGAACATTGCGTGGGTGTGGGATGATGTCACCAAGGAGTATATGAATAGCTTCTGGTAGGAGACACTCAAGAGGCTCGTCCATGACTGCAAAAGATTTGCCAAGGACGAGGAAGTTGCAAAAATCAACAAGGCTGTGGTTGAGATGGCAAATGACTTTAAACTGGGTGTGGATGAGAATGGCATTGAGGAGCTCCTTGATGTGGTTCCTGAGGAATTAACGAAAGAGGCGTTGTTGGAACTGGAATGAGGAAGAGACAAAAAAACCCCCAAAAAACAAAAACAAACAAACAAACAAAAAACTACAGGAGAAGAAAAGGAGATCCTTCAAGAAAATTCACAGTGAAGGTTTTAACAGAAGTTATTGCAGACCTCACCAAGCTCCTTAAAAAGTTTAAAAACATGGGCCCAACACCAGAAGGTTTGCATTAATAGGGAGGAATGCTTGTGGTGCTTACAAGCGAATCTATGATATTTCAGAGAGGAAAGGAAAGGAGAGAGATAGAAACATCAATGATGAGAGAGAATCATTGATTGGCTGCCTCCTGCATGCCCTGCACTGGGGTTTGAGCCCACAACTCGGGCATATGTCCCAACCGGGAATCGAACCATGACCTCCTGGTTCATAAGTCGATGCTCAACCACTGAGCCACACCAGCTGGGCAAGGCTTCTGTCTTTCTGGGCGGTACAGGCTTGTAGCCTCAGAACAATAGGCTGGACTATGCAGCCTCGGTGAGTAGTGGGCTATACCATCTAGGTTTGGGTAGGTGCACTGTACTATATTCCCACAATGACGAAATTGCCCAATGACTCCGAATGTATTCCTGTCGTTGAGCGATACATGACTGTATTATTATTGAAGCTCAATTAAGGGCATTCATATGTTGCACTAACAGTTAATCTGAAATCTGAATATTGAAAAAATGGAAACCTTAGAAAACAATGACTATTTTAAAAGAAGTTGCTTTCTCATCTATATAATAAAAGCCTAAGCGACCATTAAGGTGGAACGACCAGAACAACCAGTCACTATGATGTGCACTGACCACCAGGGGGCAGACACTCAATGCAGGAGCTGCCCCCTGGTGGGAGCGCCGCTCAGCCAGAAGCCTGGCTCACAGCTGGTGAGCACAGCAGTGGTGGTGGAAGCCTCTCTCGCCTCTGCGGCAGTGCTAAGGAGCAGCGAGACAAGTGGTAAGGAGCAGTGAACAGGTGGGCGGTAAGGAGCGAGGGATCCTTGACTGCGAGAGGGCGCAGGCCTGGCCGAGGGACCCTCTCCTCCAGTGCACATGTTTTGTGCACCAGGCCTCTGGTGTTTTATAATTGCTAGGCAGTTAACACAAATTATAGTTATTTTGTATCTGAAAAATTTAAAAGAAAAATTTAAAAGTTTGAGATTGGCTTTTGCAGTGTCCAGACATTTTACATTGGATTTACTTAGACAGATTTAGAACAGGAAAAACATCTTGCCAGCAGGGCCATGCCAAGTATTTTCTCTTCTGGGAGAGTAATTCTCGCAGTGGTGCATATATCCATCCAAGAGTTGTTCTCTCTGGCCCCCGAGTGACAGCTCAGGTGCAGGAAGACAGATCCATGCTGGTGGGTATGGTTTATCGTCTCCATGCCCCGCAGGAGCCAATATCTTCAAATCCTAAAAAGCCATTGTGGTTTTTGCATGTTTGTGGAGCATGGGAGAGGGATGTAGAGAAAGACTCTACTGAGACCATTTAGTTGAAATACTTATTCACACATATATTATTTACAAGGAACGTGCCTGTGTCAAGAGTCACGTACTCAGAAGCTGAAAGATATGGCTTCTCAGAATACATTTATGGTTAATTTATAGTTTCTGGTCCAGATGCAACTTATGAGTCAAGGGTCCAATAGTAATGGAAATTGTTATGATTAAAAAAACAAATTTTCATACAGTGTGCATCAAGATGCTTATATTAAAAAATAGCCTGTTACATCTAAGCGTTTTCAGTATTATAATTTTATTATTATTATTTTTTTAAATATATTTTATTGATTTTTCACAGAGAAGTAGGGAGAGGGATAGAGAGTTAGAAACATCGATGCGAGAGATCGATCAG